AGAAATTTCGTACTTCACCTCTGCAAATTTATTCTTCATTTTGCTGCATTTAATTTTTGTGAGAAAGAGTGTAAATACTTAGTGTGTTCGTTAAACAAATAAATTGTAGTACTGCATTTATTTGTAGTTGATCATTTCATACTGGGAGATAGACGTTCATATTCTGAAAGTACCGTAAAAAGGACGGATCTGTCTTAAGAAGACAGTGTCGAACACTGGACTTGATCAAAATAATATTTAAGATATTAATCAAGTAAGTTATTTATTTATGTTCTGTTTTATTATTTATTTAAATCAGATTTTAATTTTGTTTTTGTAACAAAATAAAATCTATTTTTTATTTATTTAATTCTATTTCTAGTTTGATTTTTGTAATCAAACTTTCTCTCTCCTTTCCTATTTTTCTTTTATATTCTGTTTGTCATTTAGTACCCAAACAGAATTAATTAATTTAATTACAGTGAAGATTGTCCAACAATCTTAAGACATAATCGATTTTGGTATCTTCATTGTATTTAATTTTCTGTGATTTCATAAAGACATATTCTGGTTGGAAAAACAAATAGTGGTTTATGCTATTTGACAGATAGTAGTAATATACTGTCTATTTTCTTTGACAACTAGTAGTAATATACTGGTGTCATTAACAATTGTAGAATATTAATTTGTGTTACAGAAAATTATTGTGGTATTTTATTTTTCTAGTTTTAGTAACAAGGAAAATAAAATTATTTTGTATTATAATTTATTTTCTGGTTTTAGTAACTAGAAAATTAATTTGTGGTTTGTTTTCTGATTTTTGTAATCAGATTTTATGGCTACTACAACTGAAACTGCAACTGGAAGTGGTACTCCAATTATTACACCAACACCGGTCCCTATCTAGAACCATGTTCAAGTACCAATCAATCATGGAAAAAAACCGAAAAAATTTAACGGTACTGAGTTTAAGAGATGGCAGTAGAAGATGCTGTTCTATCTTACAACTCTAAATTTGGACCGGTTTCTCCATGAAGAGGCTTCAGCACTTAAAGAGGGTGAAAGTGATCGGCAAGTTGTTGCCACTGTAGATGCTTGGAAACATTCAGATTTCCTGTGTAGAAACTACATCCTCAATGGCCTTGACAACATGCTGTATAATGTTTACAGTCCTTTGAAGTCAGTAAAAGAATTGTGGGGTTCTTTGGAGAAGAAGTACAAGACAGAGGATGCCGACACGAAGAAATTTGTTGTCGGTAAATTTCTGGACTTTGTTATGGTAGACTCCCAAACGGTAATTTCTCAAGTTCAAAATTTTCAAATAATTTTGCATGATATTCATTCAGAAGGTATGTCTCTTAGCGAGTCTTTCCAAGTCGCTACTTTAGTGGAAAAGTTACCACCGGCTTGGAAAGATTTCAAAAATTATTTAAAACATAAACGCAAAGAGATGACCATGGATGAACTTATTGTAAGACTAAGAATTGAGGAAGATAACCGTAAGGCTGAAAAAAGGAATGGGAAAAATCCCATTGAGTCCAAGGCTAATGTGGTTGAACAAGTTCATAAACCACATAATAAAAAGGAGAAGTTTACTGGAGATGGTCCTAAATAAGGCGACAATAATGGCAACAAGAAGTTCAAAGGAAAATGCTATAACTGTGGCGAGACTGGACATCGAGCTTCTGATTGCCGCCGCCCTAAGAAGGATCGTGGAAGTACAAGCAAGAAGACTTCCAATCAGGCCAATGTAACTGAACTAGATTACATCTCTGACGGGGTGAATGACATCAACCTCTCTACTGTGGTGTCTGAGGCTAACTTGGTTAGAAATCTCAAAGAGTGGTGGGTTGACACTGGAGCAACTCATCACATATGTGCGGACAAGAAGATGTTCACTACCTACAATGAGGCTGCAAATGGTGAACAACTTTTCATGAGAAATTCTTCTACTTCTACTGTGGCTGGACAAGGAAAAGTGATCTTGAAGATGACATCAGGGAAAGAACTGACCCTCAACAATGTACTGCATGTACCTGACATCCGGAAGAATTTAGTTTCTGGTTCTTTGTTAAGTAAAAATGGTTTTAGGCTTGTCTTTGAGTCTGATAAATTTGTATTAACAAAGAGTGGCATGTATGTTGGTAACGGATACATGAGTGATG